CGGTATAGTCTGAGTAGCCTGGGCACCTATTACACTTGGGAAGGAGACAACTAAGACCACATTCCGTGCGGAGACAAGTCAGTGGATGATGGAGGCAAATCTGGATAACCCAGGAGTGTTTGAGACGTTTCTCTGGGTGGGTATCCACGGATGAGGATTGACTTGGGGTAAAGAAAAAGCTACTATAACTTGCCAGTGGTACTTGCCAATGAAATCCGAGGCATGAATGCTTTTCTTTTAAATTGAGTCATATATTATACAATTCTCTGATATTGTGTCATAGCTAGATAGCTGCATCCGCAATTAAAATCTGATGCAAAAAAAAAATTCAAGTAATGCTATAGTTAGAGACTATAGGTGCACATCGAGACCCAGACAAATCAAATTTGAGTAATTGTTTCCCAAAATATTTTTCTCTCGAAGAATAGAAGTGTAAAGTAACGGTTAATGCCTTACTCTTTACCCCAGAACTATTTATGCGCTTTCATTCAGACATTGGCCCTACATCTCATAACCTAGGCTCAGCTATAAAGACTTCGGTGTTGTTATTTACCAGTTATAACATAAAGAGGTCTGGATAAGGATAAGAATTTTATTATAACCCCTTATGAATCTAAGACTACTAAGGACTTCTAGAACAAACCAACTAAATTCTGGCTGATAATTGAGTGTTCAAATTTGGTAATTTAATATTTTCCACTTGATGTTGAGGATCATCTCCTACGGCGGTCCGGAAGCTGTACCTGCCATTCCTATCCTCTTCGAAGGGCAAGCTTTGTACTAAAAAAGAAGGGTTTACTTGAGATCTTCATAGCCCTGGGTAATACGTAGTTGGTATTATCGAAAAATTCGATTATTTTATGCTCACAGCTCAGTCACAATCCACATCTAAATCTTAGCCCCCAATTATCCTAAGCCGATGAAACCTTGATAATAAAGTTGATATAGTAAAGGTAGTTTTGTGAGAACCCATATTCACATAATCAACGACCTAACACTAAGACGTTGTCCTCATTTAGTATTATTTGTTTCCGCGAAAAATCACAACGGCGGGTAGGGAAATGAAGGCTTGAAAATTTTTAGTGGTGTAATCTGTAAGTTAGAGGTTAAATATTACTCCAGAGTAGGGATTTAGTCACAAGCAAAGGCAATATTAATTCGATTTGGTAGGCTTTCAGATGAATGATTCGTGCTCGATATTTTGGTTAAAAAGTCGGTTTGACGGTATTACTATAGCGCTACTAATCGACTCCTAGGTAGGTCTAGGGTAGTACGGGGACGTGGACAAAATGGATACCTCCAAACTTCTATTTTGTCTACTCCCTCGCCCCGTAATAGGAGGAGGGTTTGTTATGCTCAGCTGTGTAGTATGGTAGATCTAGTAGCTGGTGCAAAAGTGGTTACTTTGGCAGTATGGCATTATTGCGCATGAAGAAGATCTAGTCACTACATGACACCAGTACATGTAGTACTGTGTGCAGTTTGAAAGAAGGGTTGTTGATATAAGACAACTGAGATATATATATATATATATATATATATATATATATTATTCATTTTACCTGATTTGACGCCTTGAGGCCCATGCAGGATTTTATCGGAAGATATGCACTTTAAGTAGGGTGACTCAGTTTGACGTTTAGAACACTCACACTCAGATTTCATTTGCAGATACCACTCGAGGTTAACCCTTAAGGCGTACAATCTCTTACGTGCATAACCACCTCAGGGAAAAGCGTGAAAAACCTGTGGCTAACCGAGTGTGCTATCATTATCCCACAAATTCAATACCACCGCGAGAGAAAGTGGTGTGTGGGTCTGACTGGATTCGAACCACCATTCTCCTGTCTCGAATGGGGCAGGTGCTTAAGCTACCCAGTATCTTCTTGAGAGAACGGCCCAGATAGTGTACCACTGCACCATCCAGCCCGACAACTGGCATAGCTGCTCAGTCTAGAGGATACTCTGGCGCGCTGCACACTGGTTACGTGATCAGCTTACAAGCGAACAAGTTAGGGCGTGAGGGACTAGCTTCCCACGATCAGTAACATCACAGTTATCACGGTGACTTCACCGGAGGACGAAGGCTGAACACCTGTCAGTGGTGTCCTCTACGAACCTGGGAGTGAAATATTCTCCCAGAGCCGAGATTCAGTCACGACAAAGGGTGAAATTGAGAGTTTTCGTCCAGTTGGCGATCGGGAGAAGTGGTGTTGGCTCATTTTTGGTCGAAAATCCGACTTGCAGAGGTTTCACGACTGAACAACTCAACGAAATCAACGAAATCAACCATCTACACCCCAGATACGAACCGCAGACAGCCTATAACCTGTCTGATGCTTGTATCACAAAAACCGACACCTTCAACAACTTATTTTCTATTTCTCTGGAAAATCACTCCTAGCCAAACTCATCTCGCGGCCCTCTCCTCAATCATCTCACCATCTACTAAAGCAATCCCATACCTCAAAAAGCCAAATCACTAACTAAGAAGCAAGAGAATTTCCGACCCTCTGCAACTGCCAGCCGCTGTGAAGGTACGGTCGAAATACCGGCCTTAAATGCGTCCTCACCTCGGCCAAGGGCACCAACAACTCGACCTGCGACGAATCGCCACCGACGAAATAAGTACGATATTTCGCCGGCACCGCAACCAGAGCGTTAGACAAAGGCAGGGGCACTGGTGCCTTGGTCTTGAGCTCTTAGTCGCGTTTTCGACCTCCACGGTTAGGGCTACGGCAGCAACGGGGCAAGGCCGGAGGGGTGGACATTCTACAAAGTTTCTGGTATGACGAGATCGGCTGAAGAACAGAAGGATGCTGCATGAAGGAACCAAAAGGGAATCCAAACTGAGGAGGCCTTGGTGTGCGACTGGATGAGGCCTCCAGTGAAGAAAACGACTCCTGGATGAGATGAGTAGATGCTGAGATTAGCCAAAGCTGGGAATGAAACGAAGGAAAAAGTCACAGATGGCGAAGGTGTCAAGGGCTCGGGCGCGTGGTGGTCGAGGCTGAGGAGGAATTTGCGATTCGGCGCGCCAAAAGGGGGTTCTCTAGATGGTTGGGCTTGACATGATTCAACACATGGGTGAAGTCTGAGGTGGTCCGGTCATTTAGGTGGGACGAGGTAGATGTACTTAATGGTAGTTATCCTGATCCAGCCCGGCCCTACCCGTGCTTAAGCTCCAGTAGGAGTGCAACGGGAATCACTATACCTAGCACGTAAATGTACAAGACAACACAAGACAAGATGGTGACTTCACTGGAGGGCGAAAGCTGAAGACCTGTCAGTGGTGCCCTCTACGAACCTGGGAGTGAAATATTCTCCCAGAGCCAAAATTCAATCACGGAAAAGGGTGGGATGAATTTTGTTTGATGGATTTTCGACTTGAAGGAGTTGCACTCGATATTTTGGTCGATAAATCAGTTGGCAGAGATTTCACAGCCGGAACAACGTCGAACAAAAACTCATCACCACCAACATACGATTCACGAATGGGTCTAGGTCTGTCTGGGAGTCGTATTAGAACATCCGACATCTCTCAAACTCCTTATATATTTGCGACGATCTATATCTCAGCCGATCTCACGCCTGCGACTCACATCTATACTCGTCACGTCACCTAACTACACACGCCCTAATGAGAAAAGTCATGATGGAAACAGGACGTGTGCAAAGGAGGAAGAAAAGGGAAGATACACCGAGGGGATTACACCAATCCCCCATGACGAAAGCAACCCAACGGTACGATATGAAGGTGCAAGGCTAGAGCAACGATGAAATCTTGGACGGCATTTGAATTTCGGACTCAATGGGAATGTCAAGGGCTCGGGCGCGTGGTGGCCGAGGTTGAGGAGGAAATTGCGCTGCGGCGTGTATACAGCGGGTTTCTGGACGGTCAGGCTTGGTATCATTCAACATAAGGGTGAAGTCTGAGGTGGGACGGGGTTTATCTGTACCTCACGGTACTTCACCTGACCCGGCCCGACCCCACCCGTGCTTAAGCTCCAGTAGGAGTGCAACGGGAGTCATGTAACCTAGCACGCTAGTGAACAAAACAAAAACAGTGATTGCACTTTTCACATTAATGAAGATATCTCTCCACAAACGATCTAAGCTGTTCCAGGGCAAGTGTATATTCCCAAATCATGATATATCTACATCGAAACTTCGCAGAGGAATCTGAACTCTCTTTCCGTCTCTACATCGAATACACCGTCAATCAATGCACGACCTTCCGGAGAAAAATACGATGAGAGGGTTTATCTGGACGAATAGATTTTTGTGGAGATATTAAAATTATAACTTTTTCATCGCACAACAGTGCGCTCAAGAAAAGAATATTTGGACGTTAAATAAATATGAAAGGCATGTATTTGTGGAGTTCTAAGTTGAGAGAGACAAAACTTTACTGCGCGTTGTACGTGGATGCAACAGATGCTCAGGTTTCCCCTCATTCAACATAAGAGTAACATGCCCATGGTATTGTCACTTTGGTAGGACAAGTTGCTCCTTAATCTCTGTCACCTTTTCATGTTCAGCCTCACGAATACCCTAGGTATACTGGCGAGTGAAAGATTTCTTTTAAAGCCATTTAATGTGCCTAATCTAGATGATCGTGGTTATTACAAAAGTCGAGGTTAGGTGCTATTATTCCCAATTATATCCTTTTACAGGCACATTGCTGTCACCGTCATGGTTTGGACTGCCACTACAAGGATCTGAGATATGGACGCAAATCTTCATGCGAAGTAGGAGCGCGTTGGATGCCACGTCGCTAGAAGCAAGTTGACATAGTTGTCGGTAGAAATTCACAGGAAGAGCCGCTAAACAAATGGAATGCGACGTATCAGAGAGATTAAACTTTTAATTCTTGCGGGACTGTTGATAGGCAACGATTAAAAAATGTATTATATATTAGCCGTCATCATTGAGCGAGGACGCGCATTAAGAATGTGAGGTATTGCTGGAGAACACTGCGTTAGAGGCGTGTGAGATTATTAAGCATCCTTCAGAGCAAAACACCGCTCACTATTTGCCGCACTATTTCCCCACCAATGCGGCATAGAGATTACCTTCACACCAAAGAACAAGAAAATAAGCAACATGTTGAAGTTAAAGCCGGCATCAAAGGCAGCGGCGAGAATGTAATTATAGCGGGCCCAGACTTCGTAGCGTTTATGGAAGAACCAGTGCATTATGAAGAAACTGCCAATGAAGCCGGAGAGGTATCCGGTACTGATATTCCCGTAAAACGTAGACATGGCGGAGAAAAAGATAGTCGTATTCCACAAGTTGAACTTGAGAGGAGATTTTGGGAAGCTACGGTGAAGGATATTGATAAATATAGGAGCAAGAATGCCGACAACAAAGCCGTAGGGTAGGGGTTTGAATATGGGTTCCTTGAAAAGTTTGTGAGGGCCCTAGACAAAGTAAATATTAGTTTGATGCCGGCCGCGGCAGGTGGGGCTGATGTCACATACCACTAGAACGTACTGCACGGAGGTACTCAGGGAAGTTGCCAGGGATTGCCCGGTCCACTGATGAGATGGATCGACCTTGGCACCGGTAAGATATTCACGTTTGGAATCAAGCACCCAACGCACGACGGCATAGTTGATGGGAATGCCGATTGTGCAGCCAAAGATCTGAGAGAAAAATGTGGCGCGCGGGGGTATGTGCATGTAGTGGCCGATTTTCTGGTCCTGAAGCATGTACTGAGCACGGTACCAAGCGTCGCCGGCGACAGAACTGTAAACGGTAGCGCCTGTAGGGTTTTTATTACCATTAATGGTGTTAATCATAAGCCCGTACATGAGTTCATTAAAGGTGCCAATGGGAAGCTGAAAGTTGGAAATGGCGTAGAGCCATCCGAGAGGTGTTACAATGATAGCGCCAGTAGCCAAAGCGACAAAATAGGTCCAGATTGGGATGTATAGGTGTCCAAGTGCCAGCATGATGATGACAGGGACACTGGAGAAGAGAAAGAGAACGATGTACCACCAGGTTGGTACTTCGGGGTAGGATCGCTGCAGAATATTGAGCTGGTCCGAGTAGTGGTGATTCATACTCTCGCCTTTGACGTCGAGGTTGCGCTCCCGTAGTTTGATATATGTGGCCTTGATCTGCTCCCAGCCGAATAAAACCATCCAGGTCATGGCTGAGGTGTAGGCGGCGTAGCTGAAGAACATTCCCCAACGCATCTGGGCGCCGAGCATTAGCGGGCCATGTTCAGCGTAGGCCGTCTGGTTTAGCGTGGCCTGTGGAGTGAGGAGTGACTTGAGGGGATAAAGAGTTCCGTTCACTGTAGTGGGTTAGGAGATAGACAGCGGCCGGATTGGGGAACCTACTGGTCAAGACTTTGTTCGTCATCAAGCCGTGCTTGTAGGAGCCGCTGAGATTGCCAAACTTTGCAGCAGGAATGAGGATCCAGCAGTTGATGACGAATGCGAGGAAGACGAGCACCTGGGTCCAGAAGGGGGTGAGGAACAGATTGCCCGAGTAACTAAGGCCCGAAATGTTGGACCAGTCGAGACTGAGATTGAGGAAGCCCATACCGCCAAATCCTGAGCCGATGAAATTAGCGGTGGGATTGCGCGGCGCAATCCAGCAGAGAAGGGCGAGCGAGCCGAGCATGGGAAAGGCGAATTCGGGTAGAAACTGCCATAGGGTGATGCCGGCTAGGACGGACCAGAAGATGATGATCTGGCGGCGCGAGGTTGCTGATGGCTTTTCGCGCTGCTTCTTTTGGGTTTCGAAGAGAGCAGTTTGACATAGTCTGTGGAAGGGGTGATATTAGTATGGGTGCAGGCACAACAGCGAAGGCCACTTACGCCTGGAACCTGAAGGGGATTAGCAATGGCAGCCAGCAGGATGACATAGGCAAGGACTCACCAAGGATACTGGGGGTCATAGAGCAGGAACTGGCGCGAAATGGCGGCAAAGGCGTAGCCGGTCCATACGATCGCCCACATAAACACAATGGCGACGGCGGGGTGGACTCGTTGATTAAAGTAGAGTTCGGCGATTGAAATAGGCGCGTAAGCGAGATTGTAGGAGGCGCCGGAAGCTGCCGACAGAGTCACGAGCACATGCTCCTTGACACCCCAAGGACCCGGATTGAGGTTGAAGCCGAAGCGGGTGCCGGGCAGGCGAATCTGCCAGGCCGGTAGCACCTTTGCCATCCACATGCCCACATAGTCCGAGGCAATCTGAACGAAGAAAATGGAGTAGGGCGCCGATGTAGTCCGGTAGTGGCTCATCTGTGAGAGGAAGGCGCCGGGAATGACGAAGAGCAGGGTGAGCACGAAGTAGCGGAAGGTCAGTGTCGGCAGGGTCGGGTCATCCTCGAGACTCACGACGCGGCGCACAGCGAGCGGCAGATCTTTGATGGCAGGGTGATCGTCGGGCCAGCCATTGTCGGCGACGGCGGCGGGCGCGCTTGTTCCAACCTCCTCGTCGCCCACCACGATGGAGCTGGTGCTGGAGGCGGCAGACTTGACATCGCTGGACTTAACGTCGGTCGGGGCGGAGGAGGCATCGTGAGGGCGCGGCGTCGACCGCTGCTTCAAACTGCTGGAATCCATGGAGAGAGGAGCACAAGACACACGCCATGGAAGTCGCAGACATATTCTTACTTATACGCAGGCCATTCGCGGGGCCGCTTGTGGATTGCGCCATGATTGGTGTGCGATGATACCATGATGGAGACAACCCAGACTAGGCGGAGCCAGGCCACAAGTGCGCCCGCTTACCAGGTAAATCTCTCATGACTGCCGCTAGGGATCTGGCGGCGGCGGCGCGCCCGGAAGAAGCGCCGGTAGAGACGCCGTAGAGGCGCGATGTGGCGCCGCCGCACCTGGTGTGCGGCGCCGAGAGCGGCGGGCGGTGGGCCTGCCATGATTCACCATCCTCGTCGCGCTGCTCTCGCCCTCCCGCAGGATCATTGGTAATCAAACGGCGCTGAAGTAAGAACAATGCTAGTCGTGGGCTCCCTCCGAAAACGTTGGCGTCGGGGCAAAAGTGGTGAGATCGCAGTCGAGGTCTCGCTCGAGTCGCATCTAGTGTCCAGTCTCACTTGCTGGGAAATGCCGATCGGCGGCGAGGGGGCCCGAGATTCCCGGCTCGGCTCCCGCGGCTCTGAGCTGGTCCGGGCGGGTGGCAGGAGCGCCTCAACGTCAGCACAAGTCAGCTGATGCCCCAACTAAGGCCGTCGCAAACTGCTAATTACATGTGTCTCGATACAAAGCGATATTTGGAGGGCGGCATTCGATGGCATCGGGATGTCATGTTTCGGCCACGATGCCGCCGCGCTTTAACGTACCGAGAGACGCTACAGTCTCGCCGAGGTCTTTTACCCGGCCGTCGGACACAATCGGTCCGGCTTCATCGGTTCTTTGGCTCGCGGTGAGAAGTTTCGCGCTAGCTCTGCGACAACTCCATCTCTCAAAGCTTCTCCTGGCGCTTGGAAGAGCTGCGCCAATCTAACCATCCTGCACTTAGCGAGAAAGTCGAGCATCTTGTTGGAAATCTCCGGCCTCCATCGAGAAGAGGGAATTGGGAATTGGAAGCTTGGAGATATGCATATGGCCCATGGCTGTAATGGCGCTGATGAGTTTCTCGTCTGCGGTTCATCCTCATCACTAAGCGGGCAGAGTCAAGCTGGGGGAAACAGATTAGTGAAAATGAAGTCCCGCCGATCATTACAACCGCCAGAGGATCATTCCTCACCGTCGCTAGTCATGGAGCAAGCTGAAAGTTTAAGAGATTGGGTGATTATCCAGTAAACGAACCCGCATCTTCCACATGCATGAATGTCACATCATCCAAGTGTATTCAATCCCATGAAGACTATCACCGATTTTGGTCAAGTTACCAAGCGCACAACACCACTACTCGTCTATACTCACTCGAAACACTCAACTTCAGCATGCCGAGCCTATCGTCTTCAATCTGTGCTGTTGGCGCGTGTTGGTTTGTTCAGTATGTACGGGCAAAAGTTAGTGCCACTACCAAATTTAGAACAGCTAGTCTATTTTGCGTGTTTAAAGTGGGAACCCAACACTGTCTCAAAGTTGAAGAGCGTACAGGACATATCTGTAATCCTCTATCTACCTTCCTAAGAACATACAGTATTGTGCCAATACTCTTGCATGACATCGCTTTCAGTGCTAGCCCATCGAATCAGGCCTATCCTTGACAAGTCTCTGAGAGAAGTTCTTCTGCTGACCCTAGTCCTAGGTTTCTTAGGCAATGCAGAGGAAATTGACCGGTGAGGCCAGTGATTACAAACGTACAGCTAGACTCGAAGAAAACTATAATCTCATCTCATCCAAGGCACGAAGTGATGCATTCTATTTCTACAACTACACAATATCTCGTCATTCAACCTACTGGTCCCGAAAGACGTACCTGTCGACTGACTCAGATGGCCGCGCAAAGATCTAGCGGGGTACATCCTTGGGATGGACGAGCGAAATAGTATGATATACGGAAAGGATTTAAATAAGGTGGGATATAATCTCGGTAGGGATGGAGATTTGTGATTGGTAACGTATTTCCTGTTGGAATTTGGAGATATTGTCCGATTTGTGCGCGATATGAAAACCACGTATGTTTCCCTCCGTCAACTGCTCTGAGTTGCTAGTGAATCCAGCTGAGAATTTTTAATTATACCAGGTAATAGGAACCCTGTTAAAAGCTAAACTAGCTGGGGATACCAAGTAGGCCACGTTGTTGACATGTAGCTGAGTACAGACTTTCCGCCTCATTTCATTAGAGCACTTGCTCCACAAGAGCATGCTCTGCGACTCCACGACTAGGCCCTTTTGCTTATCTCAACGACACTATTCCATTACAAGTAAGCGAATTAGTATATACTTTTGATACGAATCTAGAGAGAGATATTCCATGTACTCGCAAACATGGAACAGGTATGATTAAAGTGGTGCTGTAGTCAATCTGCTAGTGCTCCTAAAAACCGATCCCAGTTAACAATTAGCATTTCGTCTTAACGACCTATGCGGATGGAGGACGAAGGCTGAACACCTGTCAGTGGTGTCCTCTACGAACCTGGGAGTGAAATATTCTCCCAGAGCCGAGATTCAGTCACGACAAAGGGTGAAATTGAGAGTTTTCGTCCAGTTGGCGATCGGGAGAAGTGGTGTTGGCTCATTTTTGGTCGAAAATCCGACTTGCAGAGGTTTCACGACTGAACAACTCAACGAAATCAACGAAATCAACCATCTACACCCCAGATACGAACCGCAGACAGCCTATAACCTGTCTGATGCTTGTATCACAAAAACCGACACCTTCAACAACTTATTTTCTATTTCTCTGGAAAATCACTCCTAGCCAAACTCATCTCGCGGCCCTCTCCTCAATCATCTCACCATCTACTAAAGCAATCCCATACCTCAAAAAGCCAAATCACTAACTAAGAAGCAAGAGAATTTCCGACCCTCTGCAACTGCCAGCCGCTGTGAAGGTACGGTCGAAATACCGGCCTTAAATGCGTCCTCACCTCGGCCAAGGGCACCAACAACTCGACCTGCGACGAATCGCCACCGACGAAATAAGTACGATATTTCGCCGGCACCGCAACCAGAGCGTTAGACAAAGGCAGGGGCACTGGTGCCTTGGTCTTGAGCTCTTAGTCGCGTTTTCGACCTCCACGGTTAGGGCTACGGCAGCAACGGGGCAAGGCCGGAGGGGTGGACATTCTACAAAGTTTCTGGTATGACGAGATCGGCTGAAGAACAGAAGGATGCTGCATGAAGGAACCAAAAGGGAATCCAAACTGAGGAGGCCTTGGTGTGCGACTGGATGAGGCCTCCAGTGAAGAAAACGACTCCTGGATGAGATGAGTAGATGCTGAGATTAGCCAAAGCTGGGAATGAAACGAAGGAAAAAGTCACAGATGGCGAAGGTGTCAAGGGCTCGGGCGCGTGGTGGTCGAGGCTGAGGAGGAATTTGCGATTCGGCGCGCCAAAAGGGGGTTCTCTAGATGGTTGGGCTTGACATGATTCAACACATGGGTGAAGTCTGAGGTGGTCCGGTCATTTAGGTGGGACGAGGTAGATGTACTTAATGGTAGTTATCCTGATCCAGCCCGGCCCTACCCGTGCTTAAGCTCCAGTAGGAGTGCAACGGGAATCACTATACCTAGCACGTAAATGAACAAGACAAGACCTATGCGGATTCCCTTCCCCGTGGCCACGATAGCGTGACACCTTGATGCTGACAAGAAGAGGATGCGCGCGCCACGAATGGATAGCAACGGTTCTAAAGTGCAGCGGTGCGCCGTGTTGTCTCATCGCGCAAGTGGTGTCAGGAAAGTTTGGGTCTCCGTGCCATCCGACACAAGCGAGGGCTGTTTCGAATCTAACTAGGGCTGACCATATTTCCATTGGTGCTAGTACACAGGACGACAAAAGCATACCTGAGTGACCAGAGAATTAGAAATTTCTTGTGAGTGGAATTAAGGACAAGGGTCGGTGGAGTCTAGTAATTAGACAGACTAGACAGTGTTAATTGGGGGATAAAGGCTCCTCATCTGAAGAAAGTGAGCTAAAGTATTTTAGAACCGCTTGGAAATCTTTCATAAGCACAGGCCCAGTTGGTTGTGATTGATTAATTTCCACTAGAGCATCTTTTTTTTTTTTTTTTGCATCAGATTTTAATTGCGTATGCAGCTATCTAGCTATGACACAATATCAAAGAAAAGTACAGAATAGATGATTCATCGTAGGAGAAGAGCACTAATGCCTCAGATTTCATTTGCAAGTACCACTGCGAAGTTATGGTGGCTTTTTCTTCACCCCCCAGTCAACCCTCATCCGTGAATACCCACCCAGGGGAACGCCTCAAAAACCCTGAGTTATCCAGACATGCCTCCATCATCTTTCAACTTTTCTCCGCGCGATATGTAATCTGAGATGTCTCCTTCCCAAGTTGAGTAGGTGCCCAGGCTACTCAAACTATACCGGAGAACACCACCAGGAGGCGGACCATAACACCTTCTATCGTTGGCTTCTGAGATTGTCATAGCTAAATAGCTGAATACAAAATGATTTAAAAAAAAAAAAAAAAAAAAAATCGTTGGCTTGTGTTTATAGTGTCAGCTGCACTCTCGCAAGCGAAGTCTTGGCGCGCACAAAGCTCAATTCGTAAAACTGGTTGCCAAATTCTGAATCTCACTCCCTTCAAGGTTATATCCTTCCTTTGCATCATCTTTTCAACTTGTCCTGATCCCTCTCACATCCATCCCAAAGAACTGTCTCCCAGATTTGTGCGCCACGCTCTGCTTCCTCCGTCGGGTATAAATATCGGCGTGGGCGTCTATTTAGTGGTCAACTGAGACCAGAGAAGGTCGAAGAGAGGTGTGGTCATTGGGACACTAGAGCATCCTTAGGCTAGTTACCAACAGTGTTCAAAATAGGAGTCTGTAAGATGATAAAGAATACATAATTTACATTAATAGTCCTTCCTCAAAGATATTTAAGGCCATGTAGCTTCTCTCTGCTTTCAGGCCAATAAAACCCATGCAATCTTTACAGCTTTTTTTCAACAGTTCTACCTCTCA